GACCTTGGTCTCGAGCGTGCGCACGTGGTCGAGGCGCGGCAGCACGTCGAGACGCACCGTGTCGATGAGCCGCGACACCTCGGCCCGCGACTGCTCGCCCGACCGCGCGTGCTTGGACACGGTGCGGAAGACGTTGCTGATGTGGTGCGTCAGGCTCTGCAGCCGGTTGTGCAGGTCGGCAAACTGCTCGGCCGACGACGAGAACATTTCCGCCGACTGGTCCTTGATGTCGAACGGGTCCTCGTCGCTGCCGCTGCCGCCGTCGCCGCCTAGAGGCGCGTTCTTGCTCGTGTCCTTGCTCGTGTCCTTGCTGAACCAGCCGCCGCCGCCGCCGCCGCCGCCCGAGTTGTCCCTCATCTTCTGCTGCTGCTCCTGCTGCTGCTGCTGATTGGTCTTTTGGGCGGCCTCGTTGCCGACGGAGCCCTGGTTGGACCCGGTCTGGCCCTGCTGGGTGTAGCTGGCCTCGGGGTGGAGGCTCTCGGACATGACGACGAGCTTGAACACCTCGAACGAGTCGGGGTTGTCGGCGCTGGCGGCCGTGATGCCGAACTGGTAGCCCAGCGGCACCTTGACCTTGTCGGTGGCGAAGCAGGGGGTGCCGTCGACCTCGACGGAGAACTTGTCGGCCGTCTGCCGCATCTTGATCTGGCTCGGGCGGCCGAGGTTGCGGTAGGCGTACTGGCAGTGGCCAAAAGCGAGCCCGGCAATGTCGCCCTGGGCGCTGAAGTCGGTCGTGCGGTCGTTGAGGAAGCCGCGGATCATGCCGCCCGAGCCGCCGTACGTGTCGACGACGAGGACGAGGCCGTCGAAGCGCCCGACCGTGTAGGCGCTGTTGAGGCCGACGTCGTTGCTGCCGCCCGACGTCAGCCAGATGTTGAGGTTGCCGCCGCCACGGTCAGGCCCGTTGGCGCGAAAGTCGACGTCGGCGATCCACGTCGAGTGCATCAGCTTGTTGTTGGACCACACCGACGCGCGCTGTTGCCCGGCGCCACGGAGTCAGGATGATCTTGTTCGACAGCACCTCGGGGGTCTGCGGGCTGCCGACGAGGGCAAAATTAGGGATGACGCCGTCCCTTGCCCATGCTGCATGCGCCGGTATCAAGTCAGCGAGGAAAGCCCATGGGGTGCGTGGCCCCAGAAGGGGGGGAGGGAGAGCGAGGAGCACACCTACGTTCCGGTGTAGCCCAGGCTGAGCTCATTGATCAGGTACTGAGCCTGCGTCAGGCTGGTGCCCAGGGCCATGGTGAGGGCCGCGCCCAGCGAGGCTTGAGAGATGCGCATCGTGAAAGGAGGAGGAGGAGGAGGAGGAGATTCGTGTCTTCGTGGTCTCGTGGCAGTCGATTTGTCCGGTGATCAAACACACGCCGGTGCCAATTGATCGTGAATTGGACCAAAGGAGGAAAAAAAAAAAGATCGAAGGAAAAAGCAACAAGCCTGGAAGAGATTCTCTGCGAGGAACGGAGGGTCGAAGCCGCGCCAAGTCAGTCGGCCCTGCGGCTCGGCCTTGAGGACAGTTGGCAACCGGCAAAGCTGCGATGGGTACAACGAACAGAGCAGCCCAATGCGGTCAAGAACCAGAGACGGGGATATTCGAGTGATGATAGAGCTGGAGACGCCCCAGACGTACTGAGACTGGGTATTGGAGAGTCGGATCGAATTAAAGCGGAATGCTGGTTAAGCTTTGAACAGAGGGCCAATGGTCGGATTCTCCCAGCCATTTTCAGCTTCTCACCTGTGACAGCTTCAGGACACGGTTCCCTGCCTTTGTGGCTCATCCCGCAACATGCGCCACAGATGATCGGAAGTCGGCCAGGG